AAAAAAAAAAAAAAAAAAAAAAAAAGAAAATACAGAGTTTTTAATACCACTAAATTAACCGAAAAAGAAGGTGATGATTCTCTTCACTCTGGGAAGAAACATATGGTCCCATGACCCACGTGTGCTGATTGGATACATTACCCAGCTTTAAGGACAATACCCCACTCAAGATATCACTATATTTTGCATGGATACTTTGATGTGTTCAAGTAGATACCACCACATGGTCAGTGAGCAAATGTTTTAAACTCTATTCATGTTTGAATGTGAAATAGATTAGTTAATAGCTACATTGGTCTTTGGTGTTTGGGGGGGGGGGGGGGGGGACAACTTTATTCCTATTGAAATTTAGATAGGGTATTAAAGAATAGAATAAGACTACAATTCTTTGAACCGTATCTTTGGTTGGTTGATTTATTTGTAATCATTAATCATGAAAGTAACAAAATAAAAAGAAGTGTCAATGTCATATTCCGATATATGGAAGTATGCAGGATGAATTCTGGTTCAAACGATATAAATAATAAATCTATTGATTTTCGTCGATAATGCTAGGTTATAGTCTTCAATAGCATTATTGATTATCATGAATACCAAAGCAATTGGAATTACAAGAAAGCACGTCTCTGGTGTTAAATATTCAAAATAATAAAAAAAAAGTTGCTGAATAATCTTTACAAAACAATACAAAATCATAGGAGTCTGAAATTACTAGAACAACCAAACAAAATTATAAAATACTCCAAACAATAGAATAAAACAAAAAAAAATGCTTTAAAAGTTGTCTAAACATCATTTTATTTTGGCTTAAAAAAAAACGATTGGAATCATGGATACTCAATATTTTTTTTCCCTCAGTGAAAACTTTCTGGGATGGGGTTATAAAGCTTTTCTTGACACTGTCTCGCCAAAATCAGCCCTATTTGGTATTCTAATCAGTACCCCTTCTGATGCTTCTAATTCACAATGTAGTCATCCACTATATATATGTGTTGTATGATTCTCATTGAATGAATAAGCCAAAAAATAATTTTTTAGTACCATAGTTGGAACCGAGTGATTGAGCAATATTACTTTAATAGCCATGTGGATGAAGATTTTCCTTCAACCCTTTTAGCAGCCAAAATCTTCTAGAGGAATAATGTGAACTTCCCTTCAATAGAAAAGATTGGATATCTTAAAAATGTTAGTGATAGGAAATATATTTGCTTAGTTCAATGTTTGTTAATGCTTGTTTGGCTGCTGTGAAAGTCATCTTTCACTGTCCATCTTGTCTTTTGCCTGCAACTAGAGGAACACAAAGAATATAAATCAGTGCTAGAAACAAAAATATCGTGAATCAATATGAAAGGGGAAAGAACATACAATCCGACAAAGAGGACCCTTATTTTGAATATTATTTCTTTGGTGCTTTACTTGGTATCAAAATCTAGTTGTGATTCCCATATTTACCTGAAAATTACTATTCTAACTAAAGGGTGGGCACTACCAGAATTATGGTGATCTTTGGGGGTAAAAATTTTTCACACCACACAATAATACGACATGAACTTAATACAAAATTAGTTGATTACAATTGATTGATTCTTGACATAATAAACCTAGAAATGACACGATCATCTAGCATGAATAATAAACGGGCCATGTGGACACAAAATAACCCTATTTTAACTGATTGAGATCCAGTCCATTGTACTTTCACTCAATTGTATATCGCTGTATTTATACGGGACCCATTATTTATAAGTGGGTTACACTATTGAATGAAATTGAGTAAAAAGGTAATGAAAAATATTTAAAATTTTATTTTAACGCGACAGACCTATTTAATTGAAATAGTATAAAATCTTTTTCATATTTTTATTTTTTGGTTTATATTTTGACATGATATTTGAAGTACTTTTGCAAAATTAGAGGATTTTTACTTCATTTCTGGTTTTGGTTCATGAGTTATGTTCATCAATTTAGATATCACACGATTAATAAATAAATTATGAACATAAAATAACACAACAACATGAACCCCACACGCTTTTTTCTTCGATAGAATCAAAATATGTCATTGTCCTTAGCTCACCCGTACTGGTTTACAGAATGAAACACATTTAATTTAATATGTTTCCTAGAACTTTAGATATTCTAACAACAAAGTAGGGTCCTTATTGAATCACTGAAAATCTAGGGTCTGGCTCCACTGCGGTAAGGAGGTTATCGCATGTCATGCGATTTAATAAAATGACACCGTTTTGGGTGTTTTTTATAATTTTTTTTAACAGCCCTTACCAAAACCGACGTCGTTTTTGGTCATTTCTCCATTTGAAATCCCTTCTCCTACTTTCGGCTTCTTCATACTGTGGCTGCCCTCCTCTCCATTGAAGATTTGGTTTTCTTCTGGGTTGAATCCAAATGGTCTTTTTCCATAGCTCAATTTTGGTTGACCAACACATCGTCATGGCCAAATCTATGAACTCAACTGACCCGTGTTCCAAGTTGAGGCAAATTAATCAAGTGCACAAGAATAAGAAGACATCCAACTCGCCAAATCATCTTAGTATTCCTTCTTGCCGACAATCTCGATCGACTGTGATCCATGTGATAATCTTCATCGTTGTTATTGGTGCTTGTGGGTTTCTACTATATCCATCTATGAAGCTTGTGTTGTTCGAAACTGTAGAAATTGTTGAAGTAATTGTTTATGTGGTGAAAGATGAGATTTTTCAGGCTCCGATGATTTATGTGTGTTTAGGACTTAGGAGGAGAGAGAGAGACAGAGGGTAGGAGGAGAGAGAGAAGACGCCTGACTGAGACTGTAAGGGATTTCAGATGGAGAGGAGGCAGCCAAAGTTGAAGAAGCTGAAGGATTTGAAGGACCAAAAACTACGTCGTTTTTGGTAAGGACTGTTAAAAAAAATATTTGTAAAAAGCACCTAAAACGGTGCCGTTTTATTAAATTGCATGACATGCGGTAACCTCCTTACCGCAGAGGAGCCAGACCCGAAAATCTACCTAATAGCAATCAGATACACAATTCTTTAGGTTAGCATTTGTAAAAATTAATATTAAAACCTAAGGGAAAACAAATACATAAGGCAATATCTTATGCTTAAATTTTGGTCCCAATTACAGTGAAGCCTGCTTATGTGCACACTGTTTTGGTTGAGATGTGACTAGAAGTATCCCCTATATACAGGGAAAACTCATGATAATAGAAGTTCAGATTAAGCAAAAACCCAAATTGAAGAACTTGTGGATATGTGCAAAACTTCAATTATTGTTAGCGAAGAAAAATGACGCATGGTAGAACAAGATAGCGCCTTAATAACACGATATTTGGACGAAGTTTGAGTACAATTTTTGGAATACTGTAGAATAACCAAAGTAATTTTGAATGCTCTATACCGTTGAGTGCTTCATTTTTTTAATTTTTTTTTTTTCACTTCGTTGATTTGGCTTTTCTTTTACTTTTAACTTTCCCAACTTTTACTAAATCTTTCAATCAAATATTTCTCATGTCATATATTGGAGCCAAATGAGTGAAGATGATAGAACGATTGAAATCCCGTGCATTGCTTAGAGTGGCCTTGAGTATATATAAATCAATTGTTTTTGGTGATTTTGGAGGGTTTGAGAAGCCTAATTTTATACTTTTCTAATTTCGTAGAATTAAACTTTATTTTATTATTATTAGATTTCATCAAATCAAATTCTCCCTAGTAATATTATTACAACTACTCCCACTAATGCAACTACTCGTTAGAAATTTTAAAAAGGTAGTTAAATCATGAATAGTTTTTGTAATATCAAAATCATAACGGATGGGATGGAGATTTAATGGGTAGGTGTCCCTAAAATCAAAATTATCAAACTGAATGGCATGGAAATACTGTACATAACACGAGATTGTTGTTAGTATTTTGAAACTAAAACTTTTTTCAAAGCTCATTTTGCACAAAATGGGACCTTTATATAGACTCAAAGCATGACTGTTGAACTTCTTGTTTTCTTCTTTTGGTCTCAAACTTCAATACTAATGATGCCAGCCAGGGGGGGATTTACTACTCCTAGTTATAGCATGTACTGAGTTTCTGCATTTCTATGGGGAAAAAAAAGAGGAGGAATGCTAACTAACTAAATTCTGCACTTAATGTACGAGATTCTTGTTTTTGTAAGGTCTAGAGAATGTTAGATGTATACAGTCTTATTCTTGTAAGTAGAGATTATTTCTGTAACTCAAATTCATAACCTCAAAATTATAATAAAATAATTTTATTATTACGTCCAGACCCGTCCTCGTAAAGAATACTAGATAACTGGGGGAAAAAAGAAAGAATGAATGCTAAGTAACTGTTACTTATATAGAGACTGTCCAAACCGCAGTAAACAGCATAATGATGCATCAGAGACATATACTGATGGTTGGACCCATCTCACAGAGAAAATGTCTACCAATTTGTGGATCATGGCTCCAAGGTAATCCTCCCTTTTGCTCTCATCAATCATTCTTTTCCTAGCCTACTTAGTATTTTCTTTTTGGCAATCTTTGATCATTGATCAATGTCATCAATAAATGGTAATTAATCAGAGGTTGATTGTAATTATTTCTGATTATATAAATCTAAGCTCCTTCCACGCGGAAATCATCCATTTTTTGGTAGGTAAATAAAGATTTCATAGACCGAAAATGGAGCTATATATGTTATATTTCAAACAAGCTCCAAAACCACACATATCATACTTTTGAAAGGAACACAGTGCTAGTGAATTCATTTTTCTCCTACAGCGTTTTTATAATTTTTTACTAAACTATCGTAGTTTTAAATTTGTTTACTAAACTTTCATTATTGTTATGAAAGCGGCTTTCTATGCTTTCAAAGCAAAAAAAAATGTTGAAAGTGTGTGTTTTTGGAAACACACTTTAATACAAAATAATAATAATTAATAAATAAGTTTAAAACTACGATATTTTAATTAAAACTCTAATAAGAGAGATTAGTTTAAACTAAAGTCCGCGCACAAGGCAACTAATATTAATTAGCTTTCTTATAATTCAATAAACATAATTATGTGTACCATCTGTAGAAGATGGCCACCAGCGTGTACAATTATTAAACGCATTTGGTTGATTAAACTATACATACTTAATCAACAAGCATATAATCTATGGGCCCCTCAAATCACTACTATTAAATGCAGGGAAAAGCAGGAATAATTCTATGTTTTCACTTACCCATAAAAAAATAAAATTCAATGTTTTCATGGTTACATCAAAATTAACCCTTCTATCTGCCATATATATATATATATATATATATATATATATATTTTTTTTTTTTTGTTCAACAGTGAGAGGTATTCAAATCAGTTTATTTGTACTTCGACTAACTTCTTTCTCGATTTTATCAAAAGTATATCATTAATGCCGAAATTAGGATATTTATGAAGAATAAATTCCTTATAATATGACTTTAAGAGATTGTTAAATTTCGAACGCATGACATCTGAATTTACAATTCATTTCGGTTATCCCTTAGAGTTATCTGCCATAACATACATCATGCCCAAAAACTACCAATACCCTCACTTTACTTGGAGGATCATGGAAGGAATTATGTAATGGCCTATGGAGCTCTGGTCTTCCCGGAACTTCTCTCTCATCAATTCAATAAGAGCCTGGAAATTTTGAGCCTTGGTACAACTTGTTTCTTCACTAGGGGAGATCATAATACCTCAACAATATTCATGTGGCATAATCATGCATATTTGTCATTACATGCATGTACATGCACTCAAAAACCTTCCCTAAGAGCTTAAGTTCTCCAACATTGGATTCAGAGGTTTGTTTCATTATTTTTAGCCCACTCAAGTAACCTTTGAAAAGTCAGTAAGACAAAGACATCAATATTAACCACTATATATCAGCAAACGTAAGGATATCATTGAATAATATATTTTATTAATACTTTCTTAATAGCACTGATTGTAAGGACCTTTCATCACTGAATCTTTCCAAGGGTAAAAATAAATTTCCCTAATCCTGTCTGATTCGAGTGGTTCATTTAAGTCTAATCTATTTTTCAATAGAGAATTATCATGTTTTTTGAATTCATAATTATATGCAACCATTAATATTTGTACTACAAGAAAATTTATTTTTTAACTATGAAAAAACCGCCGCCTAAAGTCAATATCTACACATATGCATGTTACGTTAATATGTATATATATTCTCATAAAATTAAGGCAAATCAAGTTAAGCTAGTTGCACCGACTCCTGAGTCACGGGGGTACCATAAATGATGGTACGATGCTAATGAATATTATTATAATTTTATTGGTGATGCATATCCTAATTATACATTATATTAAAAGTAATTGTTAGTGCCTATACTATCATTTAAAAAGAGAACATGAAAATGAGAGAGAGAGAGAGAAAGAGAGGGGAAGAAAAAAGAGTAACAAAAGCTCCTAATAGGGCCCATGTCACGTCTCCTCAGGGAGACTCAAGATGTGATCTTCATCTTTCTCCACTGCACCATACCATTTTCTTTCACATTCTTCCCCTTCCTTCCCAATACATCTCATGCCAAAAATACACAAGAATTCTTCTGTGACAATCATGTCCAGTGAAAGAGCAAAAGATTCTACAGAAGGATCGTCACGATCTGCCGGTGATCAGCAGCAGCAACAACCAGCACCGGTGAGCCGATACGAATCGCAGAAACGGAGAGATTGGAACACTTTTGGACAGTACTTGAAGAATCAGAGGCCTCCAGTTTCTCTTTCACAGTGCAACTGTAACCATGTTCTAGAATTCCTTCGGTATCTTGATCAGTTTGGAAAGACTAAGGTTCACTTACCTGGGTGTGTCTTTTTCGGACAACCCGAACCGCCTGGTCCATGTACCTGTCCTCTCAGGCAAGCCTGGGGAAGCCTCGATGCACTAATCGGAAGGCTTAGGGCTGCATATGAAGAGAACGGCGGGTCACAGGAATCAAACCCTTTTGGCAATGGAGCTATTCGTGTTTATTTACGCGAAGTTAAGGATTGTCAAAGTAAGGCGAGAGGAATACCCTATAAGAAGAAAAAGAAGAAGAAGATTCAAATCAAGGTTAACGACGAAGTGAAGCCTTCGAAGCAGCCCACTTAGCTCCTTCTGAATCGGGTAAATACTAATTTCATTACAAGAATGATAGAGATTAGTACTTATTATATAGAGATTTTCTCAGTGCTAAGTTCAAGTTTGTTGGTACATAATATGATGAAAACAAGTGTTAACGGAATAAAGGGTCGATTGTGATATGAACGATTAATCGATAGTTAGGAGGCTATTTTTAGACAGGACCTAGTGCTCATAAACCCTAAACCCACAAACTATATATTTTGTCGAAGATTATGGAGGGACAGTAATCTCTCTCTCTCTCTCTCTCATATCATGCAAAACACTGTTTATGGGGTTTCTCGAATTTAATATGTCTTTTTTACATGTTTACTTTACAATTGTTTTGGCTCTGTTGGGATTCGAGACGATTTTGTGGCTCCCATGGATCCAACAATGTTAACTGTTATACCTTGCATGTGATTTATATACATTAAAGTGGAAATTAAGACATACAAGTGTTCTTGCATGCTCATTTACATTTCACTGCTCAATCCAAAATCTAGGTACTGATAGACTTGTTAGTCACATTGTACAAAGAATTAGCTGCTAGCTCTTTCGTATGTAGCTCGTCGAAAACTATGATAATTTGGGAACATATCTAGGTAACAGTACTATCACTGTGTATATATCTTGTGTCTGATTGATTATATTATATTATGCCTGCATAGAGGAATGGATATATAATGCAATCATGCAAGTTTAAGTGACTCTAATTATATACTTATCAATAAGCGAATATGCTAATTGTTTTGCCTTGTCTAAAATCAGGTTCCTATGACATTAGTAAACATTCGGTTCATATTCTAGAATCTTCCAAGTGTTATTATAATTAAGTGTACTTCAAATTTTGTTTTGTTTTGCTGTTAATTTTTGGCACTATCTATTATTATTGTATTCTTGCTTCCAAAGGTTTACTCATAGGATGTAAAGGTAGGGGTACAAACGAACTGACTCGATTCCAGCAAGAAACTACTTGGGCTTGAGTGTTCTTGCTTACACAAAGAGTGCTTCTGATCGGCTTAGGACCATGACGATCTTTAAATATCTAATTTAAGCTCGGCTTTTCTAATTTTTTATCCAAGCTTGTGCGTGCCTTGTTTAATATAAGCGACAAAACTTAGACTTATGTTCAAGCCTAAACTCGATTTCAGGTTTGTGTTCAAGATCAAGCTCGCTTATGTACTTTTATTATACTATATATAACATACGTATCATATTTAATATAACATTTGATATCTCAAAAAATAGAAATAAGATATGGCATATAAATTATAGCACGTGATTTATATATTCATGAGTCGAACAAGCTATTTCTTGGGTTTAGCTTGTTTACTACTCGAGCTTTAAGATTCAACTCAAGTTGAATTAGTTTGATAAATCACTAAACTTGAACGAGATTTTAATTAAGACAATCCCAAGTTATTCTTGAACAACTCGATTCATTGGTCATCCTATATGCTAGGATTTGATAATGTGTTCGAAGGGGCAAGTGCGGTTTAACTACCAATGTTTGGAGGTACTCAATAGCTATGACCATCAATATAGAATAAGATTGGAACCCACTAGAGCTAGCCCATTTTCTCATTCATGATACTCCTAACTAGGCGTTAGGATCCCCTCCAATTCTCTCTTGAAAGGTCGAGATTTTATCACTTCAACAGTCTGACACGCAGAGATTTTAATCATTCAAAAGAGAATTGATAAATCATGTTTTTCTCGTGAAATTGGAAGAACCCTCCCAACTAGGAAGGGGTCCTATTTCAAATATAGAAAAAATGAAAATTATGGCTAGAATCTCAACTTCTTGACTAGCTTCTAGCTCTTGTCTTTTAGAAGGAGTAGAAAACTTTTTTTAAAAATTCAGGACAACCAAACATGTATAATTTGAAAGACTGAGACTCTTCTAGTTGAACCTGCAAACATTAATTCTACTTCCTGCCCACGTTTGAATTTAAGAGTCGAGAGATCTTTCCTAGAGGTATGACCTTCTGTTTTGATAGCTAAGTCACTCTTCCCTTTCCTTTCAGAGGATCAATCTATACCAAAAGCAAGCATTAATTCATTTTGTCTTTTTCTTTGGAGGTTATATTCTACTCTCTCTCTCTCTCTCTCTCTCTCGAGTGTTGTACTCTAGTCTTCTTTGTCCCACAAAGTGGTAACATTGTGTGGAATCCATGATTGAATGCCTCGTTTACTATACTCCCTCTTCCCTTCCTTGCACATGATGGTGCATGTGTATCATCTCATCAGTCTACTTGTTGGGTAAGTAGAAGTTAAAGATAGTCGATGACTAATGTTCATTATGTCCAGGAGTCCAAGGGATCTGGGGGATAGCTATTATTTATGGTAGTGTCGAACAATAGCTAAAATGGTGAAGAGGGTATAGCCCCTACAAGCCAAAAGGGCTGGAGTTGAGGGACGAATCAAACTTGATGCTCGAGAGTCTAAAGATTGAATCCCTTACCTTACATGTGGTTGGACGACGTTAATTCCTGCAAAGATGAACTTCCTTATGAAATAAATCATCTAGTTGGCTAGTCAACTAGCTATGTATGCTTGACTCTTTAGAAAGTATACAAGTGTTGAAAGAGTGAAGTCTAGGGACAATGGTAAATATGAGGAATGGGACCTCCAAACCGCCATACTAAAGAAGTTTGCAAGCAAGGGGAACATGTTGTATGGTATGAGTATATTGTGCATTTACACTTTCTCAGCATTAGAGTCTTCAACTCATGCAAAATATATAAATTGTAACCCTATTATTGTTCTGAAGTACAATCCCTCTCGTGGATGTAAGCAAAATTTTGTCAAAATTGCATATGCTCGTTTTTTTTCTTTCTTGTTAACTATTCCATTCACCCCATTTTCATTATTTCTCAGATGAATTCTCAAATGTTCGCTTCAAGCAAAGCATCATAATTTTGAAATTTGTCATGAAATTAGATGACATCACTACATATGGTTCCACAACACTGAGATCAATAAGGGAATGGTTTGACAGCATAGTTATACATAGCTCCACCAGACGTAGATGATTTTGAACCATTTCATATGCATTTAAATCCACTTAGGGGGAAAAACATTGCAAACTCCTTAGTCATTAACTTTGTGAGATAAGAAACCTCTCATTAATGCTTTATTTATCCATATTCTTAAAGAAAAACAAATACCTTAATATTACAAAATACTTTGTAAGCGACCCTAAAATCATAAAGGACCGAGTCCCAAACTTTTTTTCCTATATTCTCATAGACTTGAAAAGTTTTGCTTCCCCAAAAACCTAGTCCTTGCACCTTTCCTTAAACCTAGTTGCATAGCCAATAGTGAAGATCATCATATCCTTCACATAAAACCTACACTTAGTTGCCCTTGATGACTTGAAACTTCTAAGATTTTTGAGTAGTTGTAACTTTCTAAAATGAATGGTTTGTTAGGTGCCACACTCAATAAGAGCATATCCATTGGTTTGCAAGCTTACATTCCTTTCGTTTTTCGACTTTGCACTTAGTGATATTCCTTCTTCATAGAAACAATGTGCAAGTTTCAAGATTTGGTGGCTGATTGTGGGATAGGGGTGAGGTTGAAAAAGATTTTTTTTTTTTTGGTGTGTGTGTGTGGGGGGGGGGGGGGGGGGGGGGGGGTTTGCCCTTTGCATCGCCCATGTTGTATCACCGCAACTTTGTAAAGGATACTTAGTGAATCTATCTTTTCTTTTCAAAAAATCTATCTGCACCTAAAATTCACTGTTAGCATTTTTTTACAATATGAGTGAAATCTTCAATCAAGTTGGATTTTGGCACATCTGGCTCACTTGGCATATTCATCAAGAAGTGTTCAACATCATTTTTATGTAGATGTAAGAAGGCAAAATTTACTATTATGATGATTTTGATAAACTTACTATGAGTTGTACGATGAGAAAGAAGATGAAAGAAAGTAGATAAATGACTTTAATTTTAAGAACCCTAGAATTGGTTTAGAATATGATGATGAATTGACTGCATAGCACCAATGATTCTTTGGTTTAATGGTACTCTTTTACTTGTAAACGTTTTGCCTTCTTGAGGTCAAGGGTTCAAGTCTCCCTCCCCCTTTCTTTTTCCCCCCTCCCAAAAAAAAAGATAAAAAAAAGTTTAAAAAAATAAAATAAAATTGAATGCATAGCATATTTTTGTATACTAGGGCCTAATTATAGGACTTAGAGATCCATGTCCCTGTATAGAGAACCCTTATGGCTCTTTTTTTTAGAATGGTAAGCAGAATTTGATTATGGAAGCTTTCCATAATAATAATGCATTTGCAAAAACACCGAGGTTTTCGATAACAACCACAGGCATTGCGATAAGCTTAGAGTTGTGAAACGTCTTGCCCAGATTCAGAGTTTATTGATATTTACTTGGGGCTCATTTTACTGTATGCGAGAACTTTGGGGGATAATTCCATAAATAGCATAGATATCAACATAATCACAACTTTATAATGTCTCTGTGGATAACTCCTTAACCACTCCGAACAAACCCATCTTGATATCGACATAATCACTACTTTTGCATTGCATCTACGTATGCTAAATACAATAAAAGGCACCAAGTGAGGTAGTCCAATGGGTTACCGACTGAACTTCTTACCTTGAGGTTGGAAGTTTGAGTTTTAGAATCCACATTGAAACTCGGAAGTTGACTGTTATGTTAGTTTAATTAGGTTAATTTCCGAGAGGAGTAACGGGCGCAATCAGAAACCTCATGAGGTGGTCTCTAAGCGCTCTCTTTTATCTCACCCATTTTTTTGCTTATCAAAAAACATAAAAAAGAAATACAACACAATGGAAAATACTATGGATCTCAAATTTGGGATCTCAAATTAATATGGACTCTTGGATAAGTGGATCTCATTAAAAAAATTCATGAGACCCGCTGATCCTAGGATCCAGAGTCATTTGGAATTCTATTTGGGATTTAAAATTTGGAATCTCTAACATTGCTCCGACA